TGCAACATAGCTCAAGGTAGTCTTCATGCAAAACTTCTAATTGCAACAAAGTTAATTATATGGGATGAAGCTCTAATGATGAATAAGCACTATTTTGAGGCATTAGATCGCACATTGAAAGACATTATGAGAATCAAGTTATAAAGCAATAAAGACAAACTATTTGGTGGAAAAGTTGTAATATTGGGGGGGGGGATTTTAGGCAGATTTTGCTAGTGGTTAGGAAAGGGAACAAAGAAGAAGTTGTTGGAGCAACAATTAATTTGTCAAAATTATGGCAAAGTTGCAAAGTTCTAAAGCTAATTAACTTAAAACATGAGACTCAATATTACAAAGACTGATGCAACAACTTTTGAGATCAAAAAAATTGCTAATTGGGTCCTTCAAATTGGAGATGGTGACATACTAATGGATCATAATGGGGAAGATGAAATATCTATCCTTAAAGAGTTGTTGATTCAACCAGTTGAGAACCCATTAATGTCATTGGTTCAGTTTGTGTATCCAAGTATACTTCATAACATGAAGGACAATAATTTTTTTCAACAAAAGGCAATTTTAGCTCCAACATAAAATCTTTTGAGCAAGTAAATGACTTCATGTTGTCCCTCACACCAGGAGAAGAAATAATTTATTTGAGTTCTGACACACCTTGCCCATTAGACGAAAAAACTGAAATTCAAGGTGAATGGTTTACATATGAATTTCTAAATGATGTTAAATGTTCTAGAATTCCAAATCGTAAGTTGACCTTAAAGGTTGGATTACCTGTTATGTTGCTAAAAAATCTTGATCAATCAAATGGTTTGTGTAATGGTACACGGTTACAAGTAATGGATTTGGGTACAAATGTTATAAGTGCTACAGTTATCACCGACACCAACATTGGGGACAACATTCTTATTCCAAGAATGAATTTAGTACCTATTCAGATCCTGGATTCCCGTTCAAATTTTAACAAAGACAATTTTCTCTTTGCCTTTATTTTGCAATGACTATCAACAAAAGTTAAAGACAATCACTATCTAAGGTTAGGTTATTTCTACCAAAACCATTATTTACTCATGGTCAACTTTATATTGTTGTCTCAAGAGTCAAATTCATGCAAGGATTGAAAATTCTTATACTAGATGAAGATGGTCAAGAATGTAGTATACAAAGAAGTGTTTAAAAATTTGTAGCATACAGTAAATCAAGGGTAATTTTATTACCTCTTTTGATCCAATCCTACAAATAAGTTAGTTTATTATTACTGACAATTTTCTCATCTTTTGGCAGGAATATAAAGTGTAGTCTGGTCACAAACCAACTCCAATGACATCAACTGGCTTATACCAGTCATGAAATAAGATTTTAATTAACGAATTTCTTATGTTGTGTGTTATAGTATCACTATATCTAGATTACTTTAGGGTTTAGGGCTTATACCGAGTAAAACTAAATTCATTAGATGCGTCATTTAATATTATAAAATGTCTGTTTACTAATGCACAAAAAGTAACTTTAATGTAGCACGTTATTTTATTATTATGATTTTTCTCAAAACTCATAGTACCAATGTTGTATACTTAATTACATTCATTGTTAAATTGTTATACTACTTTTAACTATCTTACACAACAATTTGTTACACAGATATATTAACCTTCTGTGGAACTAACCATATCAACACAACAATGTATTGGTGTAAATAACTTATTTAAAATTTATCTCGCAAAGTTACAAAAACTAAACAAGTCAAGTGTTGAGGTTTCTTGGAAAACATTGGTCATCCATCATATCTTCAACATCAGTATGGCTGCAAAAACTTCAATTCAAAAATATATTAATTGTGTTGTGATTACTATGATGTATTCCATTAATATTCTTTTTATTTATTGCAAAATGCATTCAAATTAAATATAAAATATTTTTTTAAAATAAAGGAATCAAATTTTCACCAAGTATAATTTGTTATATAAAAAATTACAATAATCTTGTGCGTCGCATGGGTACTAACCCTAGTTTTTTTACAAACAGGTCTCTCCAAGCTTAATCTCAAGTATTCTTTTACAGTCAAACCTCTTCAAGCTTTACCTCAAGTATTTTTTTTCAGTCAAACCACTCCAAGCTCTACCTTATAAATGGCTATGAAGGCATTACAAGGTTGTAGTTGTCATCTCTTTTAGACATGATTACAACAAATTGTTTAAGTACAAGAAAACTTTTAAAGAAGATTTTCTAGGAAATGTATATTGCATCTCAAAATTTTTCTATCTTTACACTTCTATCTCTATCTTCTCTTGAGTTTTAAAGCTTTTTATATAGTATCTTTGAAAGAGATGACCATCAACTTCTTGATCAGTTTGATCCATAGAACTACTTTGTCTTACTCCTTCGTCTAATCTAGAGAGAGAAGAAGTATCTGTTGGTGTATTAAATACTTCAATTAATGTCTTTCATCTAATCGTACTCCTTATCTTTGATAGACCAAGGGACTTATCAGAGTAGAGTAGCAAAACGGGAACAACAAGAAGCAAAGTCAATGTGCAGCAAGGATGTAGTCCATTTTTAGAACCATTTTGTGAAATATAAGATCTTTGTCTTTTGTTCTAATACTCTTCATGCTTTTATACACTTTTAACAGAATGTGAGTTTTAAGACAACTAGTTTCAATCTGTTAATTAAGATATAAAGAATTCATTTGAAAGTTTAAAAGCACCGGTCTCAATAAATAATGATCGTTGAGAATAGTTTATATATTTCATCTTATTTTCTTCGTCTTACAGACACTACTTTGTCTTATAAAGTCTAAAACAATGACTTTTACAATGCATTTTCTTATTTGTTATCATTAAAGCTTATAAACATGAGGGATCTAAGATTGTCTTTTGACTTAACACTATGTTAGTTCAAAATAACTTTTTTTGAGGATTTTAGTGATTCACGGGATCTGCTTATCTTTTTTTTTTTTATGAAAAGCATGTCCTCTTTCTCTTTTGTTATTGTCAGTACTGTGGAGGTTATTGTATTTGGATATGTTAAGGAATAATATACACAAAGATCAATTTAGTTATTAAACATCATAAATGATATTAATTTAAAGTAAATATCTTATAGATGAAGTTTTTCATGTGTTAGACACTTATGTCAAGAAAATTGATCATCTTAATGTATTCGTCTTATATGAAACATTCGTCTTATTAAATGGTTTAAAAAAAAATTTCTAAAAATTAATATCAATATTTGTTATCACTAATACTTTATAAGGTGGACACTGAGTGAAAAATATTTACAAGAGGAGAATTATTACTGCTATAAATCAAAAGGGTTACATTTGGTAAATAATATTATTAATATTATATTAAGCTAAAAATTAAATAATTAAATAATAATAGTTTATTCAAAAGAACAATTAAATATATGAGATAAATTTATGTATATTTGTTAATTTAAATGTATTAATTAATATGCCTAAAAAAAATTTCATTTAAAAATTTGTTTTATAAACTACATTTATTCCAAATAATAATGAAATGTAATAATTTTCATAATTTTGCATTAATTACTTTTATTTAGCAATAATTTCTTTTAAAAATTTATTAATATTTTTTTATCTATAGGAAGAATGAAAAAGACAGAAATTTTGAAAATTTATCTATAGTATCAAACATAGGTTCTCTCTTTTATCTCAACCGCTTTTCCTTTTGATCAGTAGCGGGTTGAGAAATTTTATATTGTAGGACAATATTTATATATAAATTAATATTTTAATACATAATAAAAATATTTTTATGTAATTAAAATCCAAAAATATTTTTAATGTTGAAATTATATTATAATTAGAATTCATAATAAATAAATATATTCAAATATATAAACTAAAATTTGAATTTATAATCAATAATTTAAGTTTTAATATAAAATTATTTTTAGTATTTGATAATTTCTTATAAAAAAATTAAAATTTAATGAAAAATAGAGATACAATATATTAGATTGAAAGTTTATGGAATCTAAAAATTCATTTATACACATAAAGATAAAAGGAATATAATTTGACATAATTGAAAGATAATTTCTTTATTTAGTTGCAAAAATAATATATAACATATTCACAGAAAAGAGGAGAAATAATATTAAAAATATCTATTTGAGAGAATTAAAATAGTCAAATTAAAATAAATTAGTGGGATAAATATTTATATTATAAATTAATTTTTTAGAACATTTCAAACTATAAGAATTGTTCCTTAGAATAAAAGAAAATATGGAAATAGCTTATAATTTATACTTTTAAATTAACTAGTTACTGTATATTTATAAATTAAAAAAAAAAATAGTGGAGACAACATCCCCATTGGCACATTTAGATTTATTCCTGCTCAAGCACTAAGTTAGCTATAGTGGTCTGAAAATTTATTAATATGAAAACACTCCAATATTTCTTATTGATAAAAAAAAATACTTGAATGTAATAAATATATATTATGTTTATTAAATCTATTAATTACATTATAACTAATAAATAGAGTATTTAATAGCAATATTTTATTTAATTAATATATCATTTAATTTTAAGATGCAACCAGTTATATATATTATATATAAACACAAATACATAAATATCTCTTTTTATGACATTTTATATGCTTTAATTTGGTATCAGCGATTAAAAAAAAAAAAAAAAACACCTTGGTATAGCATACAACACTTTCATTAGTTTTCAATTTGCAATGATTTTTTTTTTCATTTTTATTAGCTTTTAGCTAAAGTCAAAATATGTTCAAGCTCAAACTCATAAAAAAAATTTAAAAAAGAAGTGGAAAAAAAATCCAAATGATGAAATGATTGGCAGATTACAAGCTATAAAAACATTGCTTAAAGAATATTTAAAATTCCCTTATTCACAACCAAAATCTATCATATTGATAAAATATGTACATTTTTGTATTATCATAATATTTCTTTTTGACCAAAAGAAAATGATATAATTTCAAAATAAACAAACACCCAAAATAAGTACACAAAAATACCAAACAAACTACTAAAAAAAACAAACAGATCTCACTATGCATCATGTTTTCAAAGTCTTACATCCACATTAATATATCAAAGTTCATGTTCCAATACATTATTCACGGCAACAAATATTAATTATCTTCCTTCTTCCCATCATCTTTCACTTGTTCCTCTTCCTCTTCTTCCTCTTCCCCCACTTCAATGGCTTTGGTAGCTTCCTTAAGAATAAGCTTCAAAAGCCTCTCATAAGTTTCAATTGCAGATTCCAACATTTCAATTGCCCTTTTCTTGTTTTGTACCAACACATCCCAATCCTCCTCAATCTCAGTGATTTGCTTCATAGTCTTAATCATCTCTTCATGACACAACCCAGAAGAAGTGAAGAACCCACTACTTCCATCCCCAACTTCAATATTATTTCCCTTTCTAACTCCAAAGTCACCACTACCCTTGGCCACAATCATGTCACTAATGCTCACCATTTCATTCCCCAAAACCATTGTCACTTCACCTTTCTCAACATCCCACACCCACACATTCCCATCTTCTGAAGCAGACACCAAATTCTTCCCTTCATTTAACAAAGCCAATGACACAATTGATCCACCATGTCTCTTAGACCAAGCATTCACCTCATAGCCTCCACCTAGTGATTCCATGCTCTCATCCTTCACTACCCCCTCATAAACCAACCCATCTGCCCCAGCAGCATGAAACCCTAACCCTAATGAATCCAATGCAACCCCAAAAATAGCACATGGAAATGCCACAGTCCTTATGAGGTCCCCATTACTTCCCTGACTCCAAAACTTACATGTGCAATCCATTGAGCAAGAAACCAAAGTACCCATCCCAGAGTTGAAAGCAGTGACTGAATCAGAATGGGCCTTCCACTTGTGGAAGATCAAGTCTTCCTCAGTGAAGGCCTCAACAACAACCTTAAAGGTTGGGACAACAACAATTGTGCCATCTTCACTACCTGTAGATCGACCCAACAATACGTGACACTCAAAAATAAATTTTACAACTAATATTTTTAAATGAAAAAGGTATATATCAATTTTTTTACTGACATATGAAAAAAAATTTTGCAAACATATGAAACCCTTTTTAACAATATGTGACCTTTTTACCTGATAATTAAAAACCAATAACAATCGATTTTTTATTGGTAGGCCTAAAGCTTAAGCTTTAATGGCCTTACCCTTATGCTTATTCTGACTACCTGAAATAACAAGTGACCGATCATCACTCAAATGAAGACTGGAAACTGCTTTTGAGTGTGCTGCATATGATCTGATCACTTCCCCAGAAGAAACCGAGAGACAAAAAACACTCCCTGATATGCCACCAGCAAAGAGAAATTCTCCATCAGGGTAAGCAATGAGTGGAGCAACAGGTTCAGGCACAGGAAAGTTGTGGAATGCAGTAGAACCATACCAATTGTAAACATTGATCCAGCCTGCACCCGTGTCCAATGACACATGTGAGGCCGCGATCAGTCCCCGGTTCACCGTGGCCAAACCTCTACACGGTATTCGACTACCAGAGAATTTGGCCACGGTGGTACCAGTGACGGCCTCATAAGTTATGATGGGGCCGTCAGGGGAGCTGGTGAGGATGAGTTCAAGGGAGGAAGAAGACATTTTCTGTTGTGGAAAGGACTCAGGTAAAGGTAGGGAGGGAATGAGGAAACGATAGAAGTGCGTTTGTGTGTAAGTGCATGGTTTGGTTTTATGTTGTACGGTTCCGAATTCCAAAGGCGATGAAATTAAAGGAGGTGATTGCAAGTGATCCAAGGTGGCTTCACCAATAGGCTCACCGCTCACGTCATAAAAATGATGCTGGCATGTGCTGTTATCTGATGTAATGTAACTAGCGTTTTCTTACCTCATTCTCTGGACTGTGGTTCCCTAAGGCAAAACGTTCGCACGTTAAGTTTTGTTGCCAAACGAGAATCAGGTGACCCTGCTTTGCTCATCGATATTCGATGTAGTAACAATAAAGTAAACTTATTCTTAAACGTTTATGTAAAAATATTTTGGCTTAAATTATACTAAGGTACTTTTGGTCTTATTTATAAGAAATAAATTCGTGCTAATTATAAGAAATATAAAACTTTTTTCAATATATAATTGATGATTTCATTTTATATTTTTAATTTATTATAAGATTATTAATGAGTCATTTATCTATTTTTTGGAAAAATAAATTTATTAGATAATTAACAATATAAATCATGTTTATTTATTAAAAAAAATTATTCCTTTAACTTTTGAGTAGTATTATTAAATATAACTATCGATTACATTATTTAATTTTTATGGATTTTGAAGTAAAATTTAAAATTATGACAATTTTAATTATAATTAATTAATTTAACTAGTTTCATTGGTCTTGATAAATTAAATATTTATTTTTTACTGTTATTTTAATTTTATGAATTTAAATTCCATTTACTTTTCAAAATTTGGTCTGTACATAATTTTTTAATTTTACAATTAATTAGAATCAAATATTTAACGTAAATAACGTCATGAAAATCGAGTATTATCATGAATGTGTAGTCTTGAAGTAGAAATGTCGGGGAAGAATGTTAAAGTGGGTCTCAATTTTTTATTTGCTCAATTTTAATCCTCTTATTTTTTAAACATCTTAAATTTAAAAATATAGATTAACATAATTATTATATTAAATTAATTTTACCCTAAAAATATATTTTATTTAATTTTTGAACTTACGGACTACTATATATATATTAAATTTATAATTTTATAATAAATATACATATAAATAAAATATTATCTATTTTTATATGACAAAAATATTTCATCATAGTGTCGCATTCTTTTTTTTTTTTTTTTTTTTTTCAAAAAGTTTTTCTTAAGTTCAAAACTTGCTATTAAAATCACTTCTCAATTCAACAATAAAAATTACACATTAGAGCTTAAATGTGAACTTTTAGAGCTTTTCATTATTAAAAGGTGAGTTGACCAACTCTTACTGAATTAAGTCAACTACATAAATAATCTAAATAATAAACTCGACGACCATGATACCAATTTATGATCAAAAGAACTAACCACGTTGACTATGACCCTAATTTTCGGATGGTCGGTTTGACTTTTATAACACTAGTATCATGCATTTACTTATCATGTTATCAAAGCTATTCAAGTTGCATTTATGAATAATCAATTTGTAAATCAATAATTAAACCACAAAGTATCATATAATAGTAAATCAATCATTAAAAACATGTTATACATTAATTTAAATTTACATAACAAAGTATTATTTATAATTTTCAAATTTTATAAAAATTTATAAACTTGACTTATTTTTTTTTAATTTAATAGTTAAATCATTCAAATTCAACATATACCATTTTTTAAGTGAATTAACTCTACTAAAATTTACTAGCTCTTAGTAAACTTACTTAACTTAATAATTAAAGTTCTACATCAAATTTCAACGATCCAAATATCAAATTAAAAGTTGTTAATGTATAAACTAAGTCTATAATTTTTTTAAAAAAAATTGAAAACTATGTGATACTTTGTTATATAGATTCAAATCAACATATAAAATATTTTTATTGTCCATTAATTTGAATTAATAAAATGAGGTATCAAATAATTTTTAATTTAAAAAAATTATATACTTGATCTATATATTAAGGACTTTTAATTTAACAGTTAGATTATTAAAATTTAATGTAAAGCAAGAATTATTGAATGAGTAAATTGATATCTCCTTAATCTGTGTGTGTGTGGGTGTGTGTGTGTGTGTGTATATATATATATATATATATAGGGGATGAAGATTTATTTCAACTCAATAACTCATGTTCTACATCAAATTTTAACGATTTAATCATTGATAAAAAGTTCATAATATATAAATCAAGTCTACAAATTTAAAAAAAAATTAAAAATCATATGATACTTTGTTATATAAATATAAATCAATATATTAAATGTTTTTATTATTATCACTGAATTTGATTTAATAAAAAAAAACTATCAAATTAGTTTTTAAATTTTTAAAAAATTTGCATAACCGATCTACTCAATAAAAACTTTTAATTTAATTGTTGGATTGGTTAAATTTGATGTAAAACATGCAATATTGAGTTGGGTAAGTTTATCAACACTTATCCTTAAAGTAAGTAGATTTCTCTTCACACATGCGCTCATATAAGAAATATATATAATGAGAATGATATTTTTATGAGATTCAGAATGGACAATGTCAACCCTTAAATTTGAAATAAACAACTTCAATTAAAATATTACAAATAAATTAAGTTATCACATACTAGCACTATCATAATTATTATTGTCATTATTATCATTGAAATTTTTACCACCACTACCATTGTTGCCACCACCCTTCGTAACCAATAGTGGTAGCGATAGTGATGATGATGATAGTAATAGTGGTGGTGATAATGACGACGGCAACAACAGTGGTGGTAGAAGTCAAGGCAACAACAATAACTGTGACAATGGTGCTTGTGTTTATGTCATTTAGTCCATGAGTATTCAGTGATGGCTCTTAGAACCTAGCCACAACTACCAACTATAGATACTTACATTGTTGTTAACTCATATCAATGGAATATGTCGTCTAACCTCTATACCGTTCTAAAATATTTTGACATAAAGGATCTCACACTTAGATCCATTGTCTCACATTGTCAAATAAGTCTGAGACTTGAGCCAATCACCTAGTCAACCATCAATTCTAATACTATTGTTGGGAACAAAAAACTTTTCTTCTTTTCTTTACACACAACCATGAATAAAACACACAAAAATATCATTAAAAAATAATAAAAAACCTGCCAAAATTATATATTTAACATAATTCAATTCTTCATACCTACGTTTACAAGGATATTCATTATCGCAAATAGGTATTACATATATTTAAGAAAATCTTCCTTTCAAGTTTTACAAATGATACTTGAAAATCTTTCCTCACAAATTTTGCAGATAAAACTTGGAAACCCTCTGTCACATGATTTTGCTCTACAACATGATATTGATCATTTGGACTTAAACTGTTATGATTTTGCTCAAGGTTATGACTAAGATAAGGCTATTAAGGTCATTGTCTATCTTAGGCCCCGACCAAATTCTTAATTTTATTTAAATATATTTAAAATAATTAATATTAATTTAAATAATTATATATATAATTATTATTTATAATTAATTCCTTAGCATATAATTATACAATTGCTTAAATATATATATATATATATAT